TTCTTCCCCAGGGGTTGCCTTCTCTGCTCGCTTTTCAGTTCATTCAGGTGTTCTGTAGACAGGTGTCAGGGCAACTCCAGGTTGTGACTCCCAATTTAATATGTCTCCTATTTTTGCAGAGTAACAGTTAAAATTTTATTTGGCATGTTGTAATTACAGGGCACTTTCACCAGTTGTCTTTCTGTTGATCCTTAATGTAATCTTGGGAGGAAAGCAGCAGTGTAGTGGCTATGAGTGTAGGCAATTTATTGGCTTTGTGAGCTTGGGCAAATTCTTAACCTCTTTAAATTTCAGGTTCTTTATGTAAAATGAGGGTAAAAATAGTATCCACCTCATAGAGATGTAGGCATTAAATTAATTAATACATGTAAAACATAGTGCCTACTACTGTTTTGCTTAATGTTAAATGTTAATTAGTCTTATTTTTGGCACATGATAAGGAAATCAAAGTTTGATGTCAATTTTGTAAGACTGTATGTTTATGTATATGTATAAAACAAGACTAAAAAGACATCTAAATGCTCATGGGGTAGTGTGATTGTCGGTGATTTTAATTTTGCTAGGTTTTGCTCTATTTCCTATATATATACATATTTTAACAACCGACATGTATAACTTTTTGAAACTCCCCTGAGAAAAGTTAGAAAGTAGTTTTTAGGACATAAGTACACCTTTTAATGAGGAATTTTATAAGTTGACTTGGTTCCACTAAATGTCAGTTTTAAGTGGGTATCCATATTTGGATTAAACATTTTACAGACTGCTTTGAGTAAGAGGAAGACAGCCACACCTGATTATGCACTGGGGAGGATGCAATAGTGAAAATAAAATGTGTATTTCAGAACTGAAAAGTAGTTGGTATTTTAGCCTAATTGCAGATCTTTTCTTTATAATTGAAAATTTTAAATTTTATATAAATAAAGGATTTAATAAACCCAACTTAAAACTCCTTTTCATTTTCCAGAGTGGTTGTTTGGGATAATCAGTGGTGGTCAAGTCCTTTATTTTCTAAGTGGTACTAAGAGTTCCTATGGTCTATCAGGTGTAGAGAAGGACTTAACTAGTACTAATAGGACTAGTTTCCTAGTACTTTCTCTGCTTCCTAGTGCTATGATCCATAGTCATCCTCAAAATCAACCATGACAACTCTTCTTTGATGTGCTTACCTAATGGGCTTTTAGGTAATATTTTATTTTGAAAAAGTGTTCTCCTTCTAAAAACAAACAAACAAAAAACATCTACTGAAGAAGAGTACTGGGTGGGCTTTGGTGTCAGAAAAACTTGGGTTCAAATTCTAAACTAGGTCATTTCTTAGCTGTGTGTACCAAGTACGTATTCACTCAGCTTCAGTTTTCTTATTCTTAATAAAACCTAATGATTACATAAGAGAACTAATAGTAATATACCTTAAAAAGCTTATAAACTATGTTAAGCAATATTTGCCTCAGTTCATTTAATCTGCTTGTCAATGTTATAAGACAGAGAAAGCAGTATGGCTAAGTGGTTAAGAGGCTAGACTCTGGAGTCAGAATCTGGATTTAAATCTTAATTCTCCTTTCTCTTTGGTGTACAGTTCTCTTACTCTCCTGATGTCCAGTTTCCTCATTTGTAAAATGGGGATCTGTTAGTACCTATTTCATTGGGATTTTGTGAGGCATTATGGAGTTGTATTTAAAAGTATGGCCTCTGTCAGCATTACCCAAAATCAGATAAGGACACTCTAAGGAAAGAAAACTACAGTCCAATATCCCTGATGAATATAGATGCAAAAATTTTCAACAAATTAAACCATATTCAATAGCACATTAAAAGGATCATATACCATGATCAAGTGAGATTTATCCCTGGGATGCAAGGATGGTTTGATATATCCAAGTCAATAAATGTGAATGCACCACATTAATAAAATTAAAGATAAAAATTGTACAATCATTACAATAAATGCAGAAAAAGCTTTGACAGAATTCATGATAAAAACTATCAACAAATTTGAGTATAGAAAGAATATACCTCTATCGCTAATCATCAGGGAAATGCAAATTAAAACCACAGTGAGATATCACCTCACACCAGTTATAATGGCCAACATCCAAAAGACAAGGAACAACAAATGCTGGTGAGGATGCGGAGAAAGGGGAACCCTCCTACAGTGTTGGTGGGAATGTAAATTAGTTCAACCATTGTGGAAAGCAGTATGGAGGTTCCTCAAAAAGCTAAAAATAGAAATACCATTTGACCCAGGAATTCCACTCCTAGGAATTTACCCAAAGAAAACCAGACCACAGATTCAAAAAGACATATGCACCCCTATGTTTATCGCAGCACTATTTACAATAGCCAAGACATGGAAGCAACCATGGAAGCAACCTAAGTGTCCATCAGTTGGCAAATGGATAAAGATGTGGTACATATACACAGTGAAATACTATCCATCCATAAGAAGAAAACAAATCCTACCATTTGCAACAATGTGGATGGACCTAGAGGGTATTATGCTCCGTGAAATAAGCCAGGCGGAGCAGGACAAGTACCAAGTGATTTCCCTCATTTGTGGAGTATAACAACAAAGCAAAACTGAAGGAACAAAGCAGCAGCAGACTAACAGACTCCAAGAAGGGACTATTGGTTACCCAAGGAAAGTGGGTGGGGAGGGCAGGTGGGGAGGGAGGGAGAAGGGGATTAAGGGGCATTATGATTAGCACACATAATGTAGGGAGGTCACAGGGAAGGCAATATAGCCCAGAGAAGACAAGTAGTGACTCTATAACATCTTACTATGCTGATGGACAGTGACTGTGATTGGGTATGTGGGGGGGACTTGATAATATGGGTGAATGTAGTAACCACATTGATTTTTCATGTGAAACCTTCATAAGAGTGTATATCAATAATGTCTTAATAAACAATTTTTAAAAATTGAGCAAAATAAAATCAAGATGTTGACTGAGTCCACAGTAATCTGAAGGCTGGGCTCGGGCCAGAGAATCTGTTCCCATGTTCACACAGCTCCCTGTTGGCAGGAGGCCTCAGTTTTTTACTGTCTTTTGGTCAGAGGCCTCAGTTTCTTACCATATGGGTCTCTCCATAGGGTTACTTGAATGTCCTCCATGAAGTAATAGCTAGTTTTCTTTCAGTGTTTGATCCCAGAGAGAGTGGGATGCAAGTCACAATATGTTTTGTGGCCAACTGTCAGAAGTATGTCATTGTTTCCACATAATTTTATTCATTAGAACACAGTCAACTAAGTTCATCCCAAATGTAGGGGGTGAGAAATGAGGTTCCACCTCTTGAAAGGAAAAATATCAAAGAATTTGTGGACACATTTTAAAAGCACTTTTCCTACTTAAAAACTCTTCAGTGGCTTCCTGTCACACTTAGAATAAAATACAAACCCTTTACTCCTATTCAAAGCCTTACATAGCTGGTCCCTGCCCACCCATTAGTTATAGGTTTTATCCTTGCCATTTGGCCACTGTTCTTAAACCGTTTTTGGCCTTCCCTCATTCTTAAGGGACCTCTGACCCCTTTTTCTCTTCTTCTTCTTCTTTTTTTTTTTAACAATTTTTCTCCTCCCTAAAATGCTTGCTTGATTCCTTGATGTTTGCCAGCCTGGTTACTTGATGTCCTTTAGATCCCAGCTTAAATATCACTTCCACGTAGAAGGAAGATCAACTAATTTCAGATAACTACATAGATACTTTCTATCATATTATCCTATTATAATATTTTACATAGCATTTATATTAAATTTTGCTTGTTTACCTACTTATGTGATTATTGTATCTCCCCTCCCCCCACTAGAATGTAAGGTCCATGGAAGTATGAGCATTTTCTTTCTTGTTTATTGCTGTTTCATCATTGCCTAGAATTTTGTTTGGCATATGATAGGTGTGCAACAAATTCACCTTGTATGGTTGAATTATTGTTATTCTGACAGACCGTAAACCAGTGGGGACGGTATTGTGTTAGTATTGTTCACTGACGCATCCTGAGGACTTGGCATCTAGGATATATTCAAAATTGAAAAACAGTATTATAGATGAAACTTATTTAGAGAGATTAAGTAAATTTCCCTAGGTCATTTAGCTATGGCAAAGTTGTAATGGCAGACAAGGCTCGAACCCAGGCCTTCCTGATTCTAAACTACTAACATCATAACATATAAAGTGCTTGGCACATACTAGTTGCTCAAAGTCATTCCCTACCTCTTCTCTTAATTCTCTATTCTGGTCTTTGTTAATATACTTATATGAATCATTTCATTTTATACTCAGTGGACATCTACTATTTGGGGTCTACATTCTTCATGTAACATTCTTTAAATATTTTTATACATCAGTATAGTTCATATACTAATTTTCTAGGACATTTTGAGAACTTATATTTGTTTCAATCAGCTTAACTTGTCACTTTTTATATTTTATTTCAGGGCTTGGAATCAAGTTGAAACTCTTGGCATTTCATTTACTTTGAGTCTATAACAAAATAGATTACAGTGTTTTATAGGTGTCTAGTTAGTTAAGGAAACACATACAGCACATATACTATTTGTAGAACCTGTGAACTGCGCTGGGCTGTGAAGTGGGGTGCCAGGTGAAGAACATGCTGCCCTGCATTTTATTATAGCAGCTCAAGTCCTAGTAGAAGAAACGAGACCGGAAGTGCTTTGGTGTTCTCTGGATTCTGTGGATATAAATGATCCATCCACTCCTGTCTTTAAGATTTGTTGAAATAGCTGGAGAGTTTCTGGAACTGTATGCCCCAGATAACTGCCCTCAGGTAAATTCGGAATTGGTATCAATGGAAACATGTCCTGAGGAGGGATGCAGGATGCGATGCTTTTCTGGTCGTCTCTGGGTTGAAGTGTTAAAGCTATCAGTTTAGCTTATTAGGCTAGACTGGTATGTCGGCATTAGTTTTCTTGGCCTTCGTGGTATAGCTCTTTAAAAAAAAGGTACTGAGATAAAATTTAAGTAAGTTGCTTCTATCTCTTTTTTTAGATCACCACACTTATTAATCATAAAGATAACACCAAGAAGTCTGATAAGACTCTGCAAGCGATTCAGCGTGTAGGACAAGCCGTCAACTTGGCAGTTGGAAGATTTGTTAAAGTAGGAGAAGCTATAGCCAATGAAAACTGGGATTTGAAAGAAGAAATAAATATTGCCTGTATTGAAGCTAAACAAGCAGGTATGTGGATATTGATATTGATGCCTGTTGTACCAATTTTGTTGCTTTGTGTATGATGACAAATTATTGTCTCATTTTCGGTAAAGATGTGCACTGTGCTTTAGCTCTGTCATTACAGATGCCTAGGAAATTATAGGCCTGGATTAGCTTCCAGGAATATTGAACTTCTCTTGGCTCAAGTCCTAAATCAGAAGCATTGAATTATTTCACTTGGCAGAATAGTAGTCTGTCATCCTTGCCATTAGCCACTGAAGTGGGAGAGATTAGAGGAATGTGAGGCAGGGACTGTGCCCTTAAGGAACATATTAGCCCACTTGTCACCATCTAGGAAATGGAAATGAAAATTAGTGCCCTCCTGTACTCTAGACAAAGCATAGTGTCTTCAAATTTCATGATGTCCCACTTCTCTGTAGCTAGTGGCACAGAAGCTAGAAAAAATCTGAGGTGTTTTGATGGATACAGAGAGTTCAATTTTGTTGAAGTATCATTTATCCATTTATTGTTTCAGTTAATATTTACTATGTGCTGGCTATATACCAGGCATTCTTCTAGGCCACAGGATATAACTGTGTGCAAATCAGTCAAAATCTGCCCTCATGGAGCTTGTATTCTAGTGAAGAGACCATAAACAATGAATAAACATATATAATGTCATGTAGTGATAGTTATCCAAGAAGAAAATAAGGCAAAGTAAGGACTAGGAGACCAGTGGAGGTATATTTTACAGATGGCAGGGTTTTTCAACTTTGAAGCTGTTGACATTTTGGGCTGGATAATTATTTGTTGATAATTCTTTGTTGAGTGTGGGGGCTCTCCTGTGCATTTTAGAGTGTGGAGCAGAATCCCTTGTTTCTACCTATTAGTTGCTGGATCTCCTCTTCCCCCACTCTGACAACCAAAAGTGTCTCCAGACACTACTAAATGTCCTTTGAGGGGTCAAAATATTAAGAACTAGTGAGAGGGGTTTGGCAAGACTTCTAAGGAGCTATCGTTGGAGCCAGAACTGCAGTGCAATGAGGTCCCAGCTATGGGAATATTTGGCAGAAGGGCATGGCAACAAGAGAGAAAACAGGTTGGCCTTCCAGGCAAGGACAGGAATTTTGGACTGTGTTCTAAGGGTAATGGGGGTCTAGTGGAAGGTTTTGTGCAGGGTGATGGCATAACCTCATTTATATTTTAAGAAGGCCACTGTTGGCTCCTGTATGGTGAATAGATTTTATGAGGTATGAGGGCGAAATCAAAGAGAGCAGTTAGGAGGCTGTTGGTTCAGGTGATAGATAATGGTGACATAGATCAGGTGAGAACATTCAGTTATACTGTTGAAGTGGAGCTGATATGATTTACTGACAGTTTGGATGTGGGATGTAGTGGAAAGAAGAGTTATGGATAACTCAAAGTTTGGCGTATGAACCATGAAGTAGATGATGGTGCTATTATTTGCTGAGATGGTCAACTCTGAAGGAGGAGCAGGTGTGTTTGGAGGGTCTTCAGGGGGTCAAGGGAGTGGGTGAGATAAAGCCAGGTAAATATGGAGGCCAACCGGATCATACATGGTCCTGTATATTATATGAATGCCTCAAGGATTAATCTGTAGATGATAGGTTGAGGAATTTTGAGTCAGATGAAAGACAGCTTCGTGTTAGAAATCTTTTGGTAGTATGGAAGGAATGAACAAAAGGAGTGATTGAGAAGTTGAGACTAATGGCAGAGAGATTAATGTGGAAGCTTTTCCAATAAACCAGGCTAAACAAGCAGTCTCTGATGGATATAAAGAGCAGGAAGAGTGAACAGAATATTCACTAAGGTGTTTTAATAGCTAGAACTTGGTTATTAATTAAAGGAAAGGGACAATTCTGAGTTGACTGTTGGTTTCTAGCTATAGAGAATAAGTTTTGTGTGGGGAAGGGGGGATGGCCTTATTCTGTTCATGATTTATATTTCACCTACATTTTAAAAAGGATACAGCTTTTTAAATAAGCTATATTGTAAGCTATATTGAAATAGCTTACAATAAAAAATACATGTTTTATAAGGCCATTTAAATAAGAGATAAAAATAAACATACTAGAAACATTGGCCAACATTGTTACTTTAATTAAGCATGGAATTTATCTTTGTGTTTCCTCTAAGGCAAGGCAGAAATGTAGGAAATTAAGGGTTATATAATTCTCATTGTTTGTGGAGAGGAAGCAAAACAGCTTGTCAAGGGGAGAGTCACTTTTTCCCCCAGCACTAAATTACTGTGTGCTTATATAACACATATTAAGTAATGCAATGGACAATTCAACAGCAAATGTAGAGGTGGCGTCCTTTGTATCACACTATGTCTTATAGCAACTCTTAATTAAAGCAAGAGTAGGGATTTTTTTTTTTTTAGGGGTTTACTTTTTTTTTTTTTTTTT